AAACTAGCATTGACTGGCATAGGGTTTAATTAACAAGTGCTGTGATGAATTAGGTGATGTCTTACTGTAAAACCCGAACTACTGTAGAAAAAATTGCCTTTAGGGGCATTTTGTTACAGAAGCACGGTTCACAAGAAAATTATTTTAAACCTTGTAAAGCAGCTATATTTTTCTAAAAAAAAATCAAATCAAGATCCTTATACTGTAGCTGCTGTTAAATGAGTAATAAGGCATTAATAAGTTATGTTTCAGTCCTCCACTTTTCAAATGAGTTTGCAGAGCTCTAGGGAAGAAATGTATTTTGATATTGTCAGTTTTCTAAATCATCAACATATATCTTAGTCAGAGGTTTTGCTGTGGAGGTGGAGCCCTCCTTTCAATGGGACCCTGTATCCTGCTGTAGAACTGCATTTTAAAACTAATCCAACCTATGTTTTCAAAATATCCTACAAGATTGTAATTATCCCTGTTACACATCCAGTCTGTGCATGTCACTAAGCAATGAATGGGAGTGGGGTCTGGGCAGTTAAACCAATAAATATAAATGCTCCAAGCTTGATTAAAACCGGTTAATGACTTTTCCAAAGTTTTATCTTGCTTTGTTTCTGCAAGTTGTTTTGCACATGGCAGGATGTACTAGGCTTGTGCTTATTTAACCAGTGAGATTAAGTCATTTTGCCTGACAAATGTTTCTGCTGCTCAGTCTCAGCTTTAAACCACCTGTACAGTGCCTTCAGCCATAAATGGCCTTTTAATTAGCACTGACACACATTAGATTCAATGACTTGAAGATAAAAGGCTGTTTTATCACTCTTTAATGGATAAGTACAACTATTTTTGTAGATGTGGAATGTTTCTGTTTTTAACTGGCTGTAGATTTTATCTGATTTTTTTTTTAATTTCAGGGAAGGGTGCACTAAACAGATAAGATTAAGCTGTTGCTGGGCCTTATGTGGTACTTGTGAGGAAAACCACAATCCCGAAACATCATTAATTCACAAGAAAGATTGTTTGACTAATCTGTAAGGTTGCTTTTAAAGCATTGCACAACCAGTATTTGACAATCTGTTGTATATCTGTGACCAAAGCAGAGTTTAGCTTTAAGTGCTAACATCAGCAAAAAATAATGAAAAGTAATAAAACTGATGCATTTCCCTGATATTAAAAGATATCATGAACACACAAACTCAGCGCTACAGAAATGAAGATGTTGTGGGATAAACACAGGGTGCAGCATCTTCATATATCAGAAACTGGTGATGTAGGACAATGATTAAACCCAATTTATTTTCCTCCAGTCTAGACGCCCACTTTTGTCCGCTTTTCTAAATTGATACATTAACATTATACAGAGTATTGACACATAAATAAAAAAACCCTCAATTTATCTTTTTTAACATATTATTTTTATGTTTAGTTAAACAATAGACTTCAAGCTTAGTCAGCATCATTAGGTTGTATTATTCTTAAGATTCTTTAATTCTGTCCCACTTGAAAGAGGCTCTTTCCTTTGGGGCTTCCTGTTTGTTTTAAATGAAATATATGAAGCAGGAGAACTAGAAAACCTTACATAATGGCTTCTTTAGCCAGAATAGCCTTTTCACTCATTTTGTTTCTTATCAGTTAATTATTTCTTGAGCTATTAGTATATGTGACATCTTTTGTGTTACTCACAACACACTTCAAACTATCATATTTTTTCAAACTTAATAAATTACACCAAGTGATCACTTAATCTGATGGAGACAAAATAACTACAGTCCATTTTTTTTGTTTACTTGCATTTAAAACATGCTGTGAGAACTATGGAGATCTGACATTTCATGGAACAATGCAAAGTACTTTATCCAGCTTGTTTGCAAATGACATTTTTATCTTTCAGTAGGTTCTTGATAAATACTAAATAAATACAAATGATTTTATAATGTGCTGTCAAATAAAACATCAAGGTCGAAGAAATCAACTACAGAGTAATTGATAATGTATTGCTACAAAAGCTATAAGCAATAAAATAATAGCACCACTATTAAAATTTGCACAAGCAATGAACAACAAATAATGTTTTTTTGTGAAAAATTGATAGTTGGGGTTATTAAGATAATGAAATAAGCACAGACATGACACTATGGCACTAGGCCATGACAGTGAGAGAACCAAACACTTTCGTGTAATTAGTTTTTTTATTGTATTGCACGTAGCCACAGAATCCACTAGGTGAACTCTCCCAATTGAAAAGAAGTAAGAAATATCCACCATCACTGAAGATGCACCCACAGAAGGACAATTTAGAGATTCCAACTAACTTTGGCAGCATGCCTGTAGATTGTAGGTGGGAGGAAATTTGAGTACCTGGGGAAAACTTTGATCACTGGGTGAACATGAAACTCTACACAAGAGATGCTTTAATCCTGAATGAACATCAGGATCCAGGAGCTCTGAAGTAGCAGTGCTAAACACCACCACCAGGCTTTTAAAACCCAGCATTCACAATTGAATGATGTTGCAAGGCTCTGGAATACAAGATGAGGAGGCTCCACTGGCCTGGGTCTGGACAGTTAAAGTATACTGTGTGGTGCAGTGAGGTGATGTGTCCTTCCTTCCTCATGTTAATACCATCATCTCCATGGTGCTTCCTCTAGGTCAGCAGGCAGGACTGGCACAGAAGACCACTCTTCACAGAAACTGGGCTCACTGCTTTCTTTTCTGACACGAAATCGACAAACTGGAGTATATCTCTTCTCACAGACTTTCTTCTTCTAAAGCCTGAAGAAAAGTGTACATCATAAGTGAAAAGGAATATAAAGGAACTCTCATTTAAAAAAAAGAACTCTTGTTGTTGTCTTGGAAGCCCCAACAATGAAAAAGCTAAATGGGGTTTCTAAGGTGTTGTAAAGGATATATGTAATGAGCTCTTCAGCTGGTGAATGAAATACTTTGTGAACTATGTAATGTTAGTATTATACAATTACTAAAATAAGCATAAGTGGCGTTTTTTATGCTTTTTATTCTGTAAAGAACAAACAGAGTTAAACCATTGCATTATGTGTTTCTGTGTTTGACTATCCTGAGTACCATGTTAACCTTCAAGTCCTTATGATGTAAACTTACAGCGCAACAAAAAATTACCGATTGTTTAGGGCCAATACAAATGTCTTAATCTTGTCTGTATTGGCCTTGGGACTTTGCTGGTGTTCCTTTTCCTGTGCAGTAATAAAAAGAATAGAACAAAGTGTTTTGGAGTGTGCAGTTGCTTCTATATCTGATCCTGAAAGCTTTAACACCATTCCGTTCTTCAAGAACGAGGAGCTGAGTATTGTGGCTTCTGTTATAGATCGCAGTGTGATGCAGAGAGAGAACTGATTGTGTATCGGGCTTTTGCTCTGATATTGGACTGTCCTCTTGCTTAGTGCGCACCTGTCAGAACTCTGTGGGAGCCTCTCAAGCACATATGGAGTACTGAAGCCTGATGCTGGAAAAATGTCTCGAATTTCTATGTGTTTGGCCTGTATTATTAAGCATATTTCAGTGTGTCAGTTCTGTTATCATTTTGTGTCTGAGTAGAAGAAAGATGAATTTTGAAAAAGGACCTATCATCATCCTCACTTTCAATAACTGCTTATCCAGATCAGGGTCAGGGAGGCTCAGATCCTATCTCAGGAAGCACTGTGCACAAGGCAGGATACACCCTGGACAGGACACCAGTCCATCACGGGGCACACTCAGACACACACGCTCACACCAGGGCCAATTTTCCCAGAAGCCTATTAATTTGTAAAGCATAGAAAATCCATGCAGATAGCAAGTCAGGAAATGAAACCAGACCCCCAGCGCTGCAAGATAGCAATGCTAACCACTGTGCCACTGTGCTTCCCAACAAAGGACTACAGTAGATGAGTAGATGTTTTTTATTGTGTTAAAACATATACTGTACAGCGGAAACAAGAAAATAAACAAAAGGAGTCCATCAGCATATTTGTGCTGCTATTGAAGGTCAGAAGGTCTTTCAGGTTTGAGCTGACATTTTGCTTGGGGTGCTTTAAAGCTACCAATGTTGAGGTTTTCAGTGTTCATTTTCATAATAATCCAGATAATCTTAGAAGTAGCTGAAACATTGGCTATTTATTATCATCCTCATTATTATAAGTCATTTGGAAAAAGCCTCTAACGCCTTATTGTTTTAGGCCCCTATAGCCAATTTCCACCTGGAATTTTCTCCCCTTCCATATTGGGTTATATCTCTGCCTCAGAACATAGCAGAAGCCTGGTTCAGGCCTTGTATTGAAGGGAACCACCCTGGCTTTGAGTGTGAACAGTCACATTTCTTTTGTTTCTTAATGTGTCCACTCAGCAGACAAACATATTAAAAACCCCACAAAAACGAAAGCAGGTGAAAACATTTTTTTGGTCTTCAGAGGTTAGATTATTTTCATTTTTAGTCCTGTCCACTGGCTCAAAATACTGGTAGGCCCACCTGAAGAAGGCTCCACGGCCGAAACGTTGTGTTCTCTTTCTTCTTTTTTTCAGCATGGAATAAACCTATTACTTGTTCCTTGTCCTAGGTGTTTACTAGCTTGGCTAAAAAATTGGACAAATCGATCAATTTGAAAAAAAATCTACATAATTCTTTGTGAAGACTGGACCTGGAATTAAATTCCTCCCCCAAAATTTATAACAATTATTGAAAGTCAATAGAAATGCGTAAAAGCTATTGCAATTGCTATAATAAGTCTTTAGACACTGCTAAAGAGCCTTTTTTCTGCAGTAAGGCATTGAAAAATAAACCCTAGATCGGCCTTTAGGTGTGAAAACATGACCACTGATAAGAATCTGATTGATTACCACCTGTATCAATAATTAACAGATGGAATACATCTAGAATGGAGCCAGGGGCTCCCAGTGGAAGACCCACCCCTTAAAGACTCTGAATGGCTGAAAATACAATGAATGACAACATTTTCCACCAATCAGACCAGCTTTTTTGAGGCGGTCAGTTTTACTATTCAGTTCTAATAGCCGCAAACTATCTGTTAGTTAAAAGGTTAGCGTTTTGTGGATATGGTTCTGGTCTTACGGATGCCTCGAACAAGGTAATAACATAGGATTTTTAAAATATATTTGCTGGCTTTTGTTTTTTTCGTTCATGTTTGGATGGGTTATTACTTACGTCTCGACGCACTTCCGGAGGTTTGCTGAAGTACGTCATCAGATAAAAAGTGGTGTTGTGATCGATTACCTTGATGTATTTCTGTTCTGAAAACGGTTTTGTGTAGCTCCGGTTGTCTTTTTTTGATCGATATAATCTTTTCTGTAAATATTTTTGGGTTTTGTTGGTGACATACTGTGAAATGTGATGGATGTTTTAAGAAAACGTTAACTCCCGCGGGCGGTTCCGGGGGACAGGTAGAAAATCTCGAACTGTACAGTAGCATTTTCTGAGAAAAAGGAGGAGGGTATTCAAAGAGGTTATATAAACTATGCAACTTCCCAATTACAGATTTTGAAAATTGATCTGTCAGGTAGCTGCTTTTTATCTGTAAATCTGTAGGTATACAATTATACAATAACATTTGCAACGTTTTGTGGAAACTGTAACTTCATATAGTTTGATAATTGTATTAAAAAGTATTCTGGTTCTTAATCCTGTTAATTTTTTACTTTCTGTGTGGAACAATCTATTTTTTTTTATCTGAACAGCTTCAGGCCAAATGCTATAGCTGTGGATGTCTATAGATCGATTCCTAGAAACATCCACAGTAGCAACTTCTTTCTTTGAAAGGGTGTTTTGTTAAAGTACAAATCAGTGCCTTGACTTGGGTAAACTGTCCACAGAAACTTGTATGGTAGTGGATGGAGTATTTCCTTCGTGTTTAAACACAGCCTTTTGAGGTTATGACTCGGAAGGAACGGCATTGTTTTTGCATAGAAATAATAAATAGCTTTATGAATATTGAGCAAAAGGAAATTAAAGGTTGATAGCAATTTATTGTACAGGAATAACTATGGCTTGCCATTAAGGTTGTTGTAAATTAACCTGAATCCATTTCAGTTCAACTCATTACATTTCTTCTCCCCTGATCTCTTAAATTGCCACATTCCCACTTGAATTGGCTTTTTCTTCTTTACCCACGGAAAACTCACATCTTTCTCAGCGGTGTTGCTTTTTATTCTGCTCTTCTCTTGTCTGCCACTCTTTTTAGATGTGTAGCATCTCTACCAGCTTCTTACATTTTAATGAGCACTGCTTCCTGACTGTTACATTTTGGCCTAAGAAACCATTTCTTGAAATTGTTTCTTGAAGAAACAAAAACTATAAGGATCTCTCAGTATCAAGGTGCGAGGTTGGACATGCTCTGTGTTACCAGCCCTCTTCACACTTGACCTGTGGGTTGTGAAATGGCCTTCTGACTGCATTTAAAACGTGGGAAGCTGAATCGTCTTCTTGAGAATGAAAAAACACCAGGCAGCAAATATACAGGTAGCTCTTGTGTTCTGATTACTGTTTTGGTTTGGTTTTAATTTAACCCTTTAGCTGCTCGTGTAGAATTACTTCCACTCATTCTGTACTTGATATGAAGCTTGAGATGCTCTATGGAATTGGTGACCTAGAGGTGGTAGTATTTACCGTGGAATTATATAAGAATTGCACAGAAACTGCAGCAAACCAGCGGATGCTTATGTTGGTCCACTTTCCAGCCTTTCTCAGGGGACTGGGGCTCAAGGATAAAGTCCGGCTGAATCCAGGCTAATGCTTGGTCGGAAACCCAACATACTGTATGTGTCAGCCTAGGATCTGATCTGTTTCCAAAAGGATTGGTCATGAAGTTGGAAAACACGCTGTATCTGTCCAGGCGTAACTAATAAATGCCTTAGAGCACAAAAACACAGCAACCAGGAGAGAATAAGCCACTATGGCAGGAGTCAATGACTTGTAGTCCCTTTATCCTGAATTTGGTCACTACAGATTGAGGATGGCAGCATCGTAACAACTATTTGCCCGTTCTTTTCAAGAGAAAATAACAGTTGGATTCTTGTTTGGTTCAGCATGATGCTCCTGCACCTCTGAACTCCACATCTAAACACTATGAAACTGCTGCCTACAGCCTGTTTTGTACTTTTTATGCTGTTAAAGTTCTGTAGCAAACAAAAGTGGTGGAATCTGAACTGTGTAATTGATCTTGCACAAAATAATGGATGTTTAATCTTCTCTTTATTTCTGAGCATTTCATTTGAAAACCTGCAAATCACACAGATGCAAAATAATTAAAAAATGGATTGAAGAGACTTCCACTGAATCACTGCTCATAGGAAGAAGATAACACTGCGGTGGCTATGAGCTTATGTTTTAAAGATTTCAGGTGTCTGTGCTTTCCTTCTGGTTGTTTGAATGTTGATCAGCTGTTACAAATGACTGCCAACTTGTTAGATTTCTCCACTGCTTTCTCTGACTCAGCTGTGCTCCATTACCTTCTGTTTAGAAGGACTTAAATATTGCATACAAATGCTGCACTCTACTGTACTCAGCAATTTTCCACCAGGAGTTTTGCTCTTAACAAGGAACTTCCAGTTAAGATCGTTTGGGTTGCTTTTTTTATATTTTGAAGGCATAGGAGAATGCAAGTAAGCAGCTGTTAAATGAATTACCACCAGTTTATTTACTGGACCTTGCGTTGTTTACATTTTGATAATATTGTAATTGTATGACTATGAAAATCTCTTCTAATAACATTATAGTGCAGAAACTGTATGTGTTTTAGAAGGAAGATAAAATGTTGTCCAGCCTAGCAACATGCCTGTAGAGAAGCACAGTGCAACCTTAGAAATAAGTGTTTTTAATACTAATTAACACTGAAGCAAATTGAAGCACAAGGTTTCTTATTGGGAGCTTGAGACTATTTTTATTATTTTACCACTGGCTTTGGCCATTCCTGCTCATCATTTGACAAAATAACATTTTCTCCCTGCTCAGTTTGTGTATAATAGTACAAACATGTTGCAGGTAACAGTGCCAATGCTGAAATTTCAGGTTAACATGAAGGGCCAGCTTGCAAATAATAGAGAGATTTCACTTGTCTCAGCATGTCAAGACTTCTTCTCTCTCTTCCCAGCAGCATCTCAGTTTACAATTTCATGATATTAAGTCAAGAAAAAGTTGCTTGAATAAACCAGAGGAATTGTGTGGACAGCAGTGTTCAGAGATCACTGGAGGCCAATTCATATCTTCAGAAGATGTGCTCCTAGTTTGCAAGCTACTCATCTGTCTGCATAAAAACTGGTACATCTCTGGTCAGTCTTGACACCTAGAAGAGCGGCCATTGCGAACTGCAGCAATCCTAGATGCAGATGCCAGATTAGTTTCAGTGACAATCGGAATGCATCTGCCTGTAGATGCCGTCATCCCAGAAAGAACTCTGTGCTCCCTGTGAAATATTGTGGGGGTCTGTTATGTTATGTGGCTGTTTCGTTTGCATGGATCCAGGAGCCCCATACAAAGTCAGTGGGAATCAAAAACTCCCAACATGAACAGGGACATTTTGGTATCTAGTAAGTGTAATCTCCTTAAGAGGATTTACAAAACACTAAATATTACAAAATATTCACACTTTACAAAAAGGGTGTGAATAAATATGACCATGTTTATTTATGAAAATGTTACTTTTCTTTGCGTAATGCTGAAGACTATAACATGGCTGGGACTTTTTTAAACGTTTAAAGTAATATTATCCAATTAAATATAATATTTCTTATTATATTTGATGAAAACTGTTCCCATTTCATTAGTGCTATGATTAAATTGGGGGGGGGGCACTGTATCTTGCTTACCACAGTATTGTAACCAAAGCCTTAACAATGCACTGTACAGTTTTAAGAGAACGTTCCTTCATTTAAATTCTACACTTTAAAACTATGTTTTCTTATACATATAATATATGTAACTATATATTCTCTTTGCCTTTTTCTTGATTCCCCAAATTTCCATGTTTCTAGAAAGTGAAAATATCATCATAAACCCCAAATTTGTTTGATAAGTAGCTTTTTATATTTTATATTTATAGTTATGTTTTTGCTGCCTGCATGTCACACACTGCAGTCTTGAATTCTGTCTCGCTCATTGCTTTGTGGCTTCTGTATGTGTTTTTAACTCAAATTTTGGTGTCCTCTTGTTTCACAGATTATAAGTTTTCTATTTTAACCACAATATAAATCATTGAAAGATATCAGGAAAATCAATTAATTAAAGTACAGATCCTTGTAGGACCCTGCAAGTTACTTCACTCCAGTTTGAGCATTCACAATTTTAAACCTATGTGGGGAAAAGTGCCCTGGAATTCCACCTGTGTCCTCAGGTTGGTTTCACTATTGTCTTGGATGAACTCCTTTGGCTTTACTAGTGCCTTAGAGGATGTTAAAGACCTGAAACCGATTTTGTTTGTATTATGAGAGACTGTTCTGTTATTCTGTAAGTTGTTATAAATTTAAAGTTCAAGGGAAGGGCTTATCTAAAATTAGTGACTGCCAAGAGTTTGTTCTCTGACTGCTTTTGCTTTGGCTTCCTCAAAGTTCATACTGGAGCCATTGGAAACACTTGGATTGAAACCATTCTTAAACTTTGGTTCTGCTGATTCAAATGGATGTTCTTGTGAAAATGGGTCTTCTTAATATGAAAGGATGGTGATAATGGTGGTGACATCTGTAGGCCTTCCCTAAATGAATCTTAACACAACCTCCTTTTCCCTGGCCAGGATAACTCATTCAGATCTGGTGCAACGTATTAGTGAACTGTCATTCTTGTCAATAGACATCATTAGTCTGCCTAAAGGGTTTTCCCAGTGCAGAAGTTACAGATCAGTGATTCCACTATGCACCAGCAGTAAAACATTTTTAACAGACATATGGCAGGTATAAACAGCCTAGCAGGATCAGTAAATAGCAGGATCAGTTTATACATCTCTGTCACTTATGTGTCTGTTCAGGTTGGAGTGAAACCCATTCTTTCCCAAGATTGATAAAATTGATCACAAGCATTACTGTACATCACTGAGATTGATTTCAGTGAGTTTTTATTCTAGATAAAATGATTTCAAACTAT